GATGTGCCTAAATTGGGATCTTAAAATGGGGAGAATCTTGTGGAATGTCTGTGTAGCCCCATGTAATCGTAAGTGTCCTTATATTGAAAGAAGGAGGCAGGAGAATCAGTCAGAGAAGCGATGTAAGGACAGAAGCAGAGGTCGCTTGATGTGATTGCCAGCTTTGAAGAGGGAAGGGGCCACAAGCAAAGGAATGCAGGCAGCCTCCACAAGCTGGAAAAGACAGAGAAGCTTCTCCCTTAGAGCCTCCAGAAGGAACATGACCCTGCCAACACCTTGATTTTAATCCGGTGAGGCGCATGTTGCACTTTGACCTACGGAACAATATGAATAAATTAGCATTGTTGTAGGCCACTAAGTTTGTGGTAATTTGGTACAACAGAAATAGGATCCAATATGCCATCATATCTTGCTGTGAATTAATTTAGTAGATGCTTTCTTCCAGGTCAGTACACACCTGGAATAAGAAGGATCTGGGGGGAGAAAAGACCAAAAAAAGAAAAAGAGAAAAAACAATGAACAAAACAAAAACAGTGAAAACTGCCTGAATATGAATTTCACTGATTTACCTTTCTTTTTTCTTATATGGAAATGACCACACAGAATTACTAGATTGAACGAAGAGAAGGAAACTGAAGCAAGCCTGAAGACAAATAAGCAAATGTCATCAAAAAATACAAGGACTCGTGTCCAGTGACGAGGCTGGAGCTGCCCCCTTCCTGGACTGAGAGCAGCCGGTGTGGAGCCCGTGTGAGTGGGTTTATCTGACATACACACGCTTTCCTCCCATTGTCATTTTCAAGGTACCCAAAGCATTGTCTTTCTTTTGTAATGGCAAAACACATTTTAAACAACTGGACTTAACTTCAGAAGGAAGAGGAAATGTGTGAGGTACACCTGTTCTTCTACAACTCAAGGGAGTCTTGGGTGGAGAGCCAATGGCAACGAAATACCGGCAAGGAAACATCTCGGCCAGGGTGGGAGTGTGGTGGACACCACAGGTGATCAAAGGACAAATGTGGCATGTGTAGGATGTTACAGAGATCATTATTGGTCTTGATGTTGAACTAGCTTCAGGCCAGAAGGGCCCTAAGGCAGAAGAAAGAAAGAACTGTTTGGTAGCTTATGGAATAGCATGAGGTATGAAGAAGGAAAGGAAAAGGACAATGTCAATATTGAGGAATTAGAAATTACAGCTATAAATAGCAGAAAGAACAATTTCACAGCTTTATGGCTGACATAAAAATAATTACCATCAATAGATGATGTATTTTTCTATACCTATATATATACATCTATATCTATATCTGTATCTATATCTATATCTGTATCTATATCTATATATATAGGTATAGATACAAAAGCTGGTATTATTATATGACAACAAAGAATCCTATGTGTACATTTTACATAATCATAGAGAAATTTCACAAATATAAGTACATTTCAATGTGAAATCTGGAAACAAATGTCAAATATTATACTAAATACCTGAAAATGCATATAGAGCATTTAAAAGTTCACATCACTACTGAACATGTAATATTAAAAATCTCCTAAGCTTTCATTGAAGTGAGCTCTTTGTTATTTCCAGAGCTCTAGAAATAAGAACAAAAAATTAGAAATCGCAGCACATCCTGCAAAGAAAGGCCTTGATTTGAATAATGGAGAGAATTGTTGATTTCATTGGCTAACATGAGAAGCCAGGATTTTCACTAAATTTCTGCTTGGAGAATTATTGATCACACACTAAATAGGATGCTACATACATTGCAAGAACAATTCAAATCAATCAAAATGTGGAAGAATGAAGACAGGTTGTTGAATTTTTTAAAATTTATTTTCATTCATTCGTTAACAAATACACTCTAAATATCTGCCCAGTGTCATAGTGCTTTTCTAGGCTCTATATGTACCTGGAGGTGAGGAGGAGACAGGAAAAACCAACAAAAACTCAGTTTCCATGGAGATTATACTGTAGTGTGGGAGGTAGACCATAAACACATTTGAAATGTGTAAAGTAATAAGTGCCGTGAAGAAAAATGAAGTAGAGTCAATCAATTGAGAATGAGATGGGAAGATGCTACTGTAGAGAGGAGGGTGGGGAAGCTGCTCTGAGTAGTGCACATCTGAGCAGAGGATGTCTCAGTCACACGGAGAGCTGGGAGAGGCACGTTCTAGTTAGAAATTACAATAAGCCACAGGCATGTGGTTGTGGTCAGCTTCACTTGTACCTAAGAAAATTCCTCTATGCTCTTCTTCTCCTGTTGGTGGTAAATAAGGAAGTCTGGGTGACGCTGTGCATCAATTACCGCCCAAAATATCTTTCTCTTTCTCTTTCTTTCTCTTGTTGTTTGTCATGGAACTGCGGCCTCCAGAACATTCCTATTGTGCTCTCTATCCTTTAAACTTCCTCTTGAGAAATATAAAGACAGGCACTATATAACCAACCCCTGAAGTATGGCTTCAACTATGAGCAGGAGCATTTGGGATAGTGAGAATTCTGTAGACTTTCCTTTAATTCTGAGTGAACTTAATTCTACATCTTATTTCACTGTTTGAAATATGATACAGCATAAGAAATACAATCAGGGAGCTCTCAGAAAGCGCTGCATTTCCCAGGGGACTATTCCAACAGTCTGTCATCACTGTGAACCTGGAGAAGTGCCCGGAGCTGAGGTTACCGGAACCAACCGGGATGACTATTTGGGGGTTTTCTCTCTGCAGCTAGAAGCCACTGTCAGACAGGAAATAGGAACTCTAGTGACTGAGCTGAAAAGGAACTGGAGTTTAGAATCAGGAAAAAAACAAACAAGAACATCAACAAGACAACAGCAGTAACTGGCTTCAGGCTTAAGAAGAAAGGACCAGATACGTATTTCAGGAAAATGTGGCTTTGATGGGCACTGTGAAGACTCAGCCATGATCCTGGGTGAGAAACCCAAGCTCAGCTGAGGGGTAGAGCCAGTCAGTGAGGCCTGGAGAATCCACTTCAGGGAAACTGAACGGGCAGGGAGGAATGGAGGCCCGGAGGTAGATGTCCTTTGGCAGAAGCCCAAGGGATGTTTTAGAATTTCCCAGAACATTTTTCTCTTTCTATTACTTTTCTCTGCCTGTCTATTACTTTTGAAATTCTAGCTTTAAAGACTTCTTTTTATAATATAGATTGATGAAAAATCTACTTAGAAGATCAAAAATTAAGATGTTTGACTCTTTGTCTCTTTGCTTCATCCCTTTCCTTGAGGCAGTACCTATGGAAACCGATAGCTTTATGTGCAAGATTTGACCAGGAGTGGGGCTTGGAGCGATGGTGGTGGTGATAGAGAAAGTAGTATATTCAAATAAGCAAGGAAAATAGCAACCTCTTACCCTCTGAATGATAGCCTATATGTGTGTGTGATGTCACTGTGTGCTTAAAGCACTTTGACTCTAACCCTGTCATCAGTGATCTTGCTTGTTGATACACTCTCATCTTCAACACACTTGGATATACATGTATTTTCCTTCAGCCTCCTTTTCTCTTGACGGGCTCCTCCTTTTGGATCTCTTCTGCTTTTAGACTGAGTTGAGGCAAACACAGCATCTCCTAATACAAGAGAATAGCCAGAGGAAGAGTAAGAAATAACAGTCACATCATTCATTGGCTCTGTAGAGGATGAAGTGGATGTTGCTCTAGTCTTTGGTTGGCTACTTGTATGTGGGTAGTGAGGTTGGACAAGCCAGCTGCCAAGCCTGAGTACATCATGAAGGCTAGGTAAGGATGCGAGCTGGACTCAGGAAAGAGAGAGCTGGAACTGGCTGGGATTGCTCATTCCTTCCCACATCAGTGATGCCCTTGGCTACCAATTATGAGGAATGGCTGAGGTCATCAGGGGAGTTTAAAGTGGAGAATGAGTGACGTAAGGGAGAAATGAGTGTTGTCTTCATATGTTCAGAGATCTGCCATATGCATGATGGAGTTTGTTATTCTGACATTTATTGCACTGCATTTTTTTTTTTGCTCCTGTACACAAAATAATTTTTGGAAGCAATATACCTCTTGCATAGTTTTAATTTATCTGTAAACAATTTGATCATGTCTAATAGTTCAAAGGATATAATTTGCTGCTTATGCCACATTATCTCTGTTCTTTAAATTTATGTCTTATTGAAACTTTGTAGTGCATATTCTATCACTCATATCATGGAAAATGTACACCATATAATCCAATTGGCAAAGCCAGTTGTCACTGTCAAACTAATCAGTCAAATTACATTTATGTTATGTTGGAAAAAAACTGACCTAATTTTTCTAATTCAAGTAAATGTGGTAATACATGTTCTTATGACAGCTACCTCACCTTTGAATTATAATTCATAAATAGATTAATGGATGCAAAGGTGAATGAGTGAATGGATGGATAAATGGATAGATAATTAGATAGATAGACAGATAATTAGATGATTAGATAGATGACAGATTAGATAGATAGATAGATAGATAGATAGATAAATGATAGATAGATGATAGATTATAGATACATCGGTAGATACATAGGTAGATGATAGATAGATAGAGGCATGGAGCTTTAGCATGAGCCTGTTCTCTGGATGAAATAAGGCCCTGCTCTCTGCAGTCTCTCTCACTGAACCTCTATTTGTTTTTCTGCCACAGGACATTCTCTCAGGAACTGTGCATTTTGAAACTGTCCTTTTGTTCGTTGTCCAGATTTTTTGTGCACAGGAGTGAGATTCGGGCTGGGTGCGAGGTGCACCATGTAAAGCAGGAGAAAGGCGGGTGTGCAGGAGGAAATGACCTTTTCAAGCAGGTCAGCTTTGAGAGAGATGACCTATGTCCGTTGAAGTTCTAGAAAATGACATCTTTAAATTCATCGTCCTCTCATACTCCCTGGAAAGTTCTCATGTATCTCCATTGAGATTCATTCCCCGGTGTGAAAACCAACGCCCTAGAAGGGGAGGCTAGAACCAGTGGAAAAAGTGTAACCAAACATTTCAAACTCTTTAAACACAAAGTGGTCTGCTCAGTTTAATGAGTTTCTTGTCATTGGAGTTATTTACACGGAATCTGGGTGGTCAGTTGTCAAGGATGCTGTAGAAGGAGGGATCTTTGCATTGAGTATAAATTCACTGGAGAATAAAGGGTCTCTTCCAACTCAAGGATCTGTGATATTCCAGCCAGGGTTGCTCAACTTTGAGGTGCATTAGGATCTTAATCTTATTTTCGAATCCTGAAAGAAAAAAAGGAACCCATTATCTCGTATTAAACAGTGAGTGTTTATTTCCTTTGTGTTGATCTCTCTCTCTCTGTTTTTACACTTTAGTTCTATCTTCTGCAGTCGCCTACTGTTTGCCAACTGTTAGCTGACACAATGAGATGTAATTTGCTTAATAGTACACAAATTAATTTTTTTAACTTCGAAAGCAAGAAGGTCTTAAATCAGGTTAGAAAGCACATATGAAGTTTATATAATTGGTCTCAACAAGGTCAGACTTCCTTCTGGGTACAGGGACATAGGACAGGAAGATGAGAATTGGGATGTGGAGGGCTGGGAAAGCAGAGCAGAGAGAAAGGTTGGTACATGAACTCAGGTTTCTCACCTTAATGAAGAAAGTTTATTAGATGTGTACTTTTTGTTTTTCATACAATCAAACAGGGAATAGAATTTTGGCAAGCACGTATCGGGGTTTTTGCGGAAGTCCCTAGTAAGTCTGATCTTGAAGCTGGTAGGAGTGTGGATTGGTGGTAGGAGGTGGAAGGTATGTGGGGAGCCATCTTATACCTTCTCATTGCCCCACAGGTACATCCACTACTGCTTTGAAGGACTAAAAGTATGTCACTGATTCCATGGCAAAGTGGGAATGATTTTACACAGTGGTATCTGGGAAATGTTTCCTTCTGGCCCACTGACACAAGATTGGCCTTTTTATATTGTTCTGATGTTAACTTCAGAGGAGGCCCTTCCCTGTGAAGTCACAGCTATAGGAACTCACTGCAGAAGGTAGGTCGGACTGATTCTCCTTAAGCATCTCTGTTGGTTATAAGCTTCCTCTATGGTCTGAGCCTCTAGTCATTCTTTCCATTTCCAGCTAACCTAGATAGCACCACAATGCAGTCAGCTATTCCTAGAAACATCTCTCCCCTGCTGGTGGAGTCAGTTACAGTGGTCAGATTTCTAAAGGCACTTTGTGTTCTAGAAGCAAGGGTAGGCGGACTGTGTCACTTAGAGATTTGTTTGGATCCATGGGCCAAAACTTAATGAAAAAGATTATTATCCAAATTTCATTGGCTCTGTCAAACTAAATGTCAAAGAACTATTGCTCTGGTGACTTTGTGAACATACCACAATGACCACTTTCTATCTGTTTTCATAGCTTTTAAGTGGCTGGTCATAGGAGAAGAGAAATCCCAAATTTAGATTAATTGCTTGAGGGAGAATGATTAGATTCAGAAAGGTAGGTTAGTTCAGAGAAGGAGAATTTAGTAATAGTCATGAGAAAAATACTGCCTGAGATTAAGTCAAATCCCAAATGACCACAGCCTATGTTGATATCGTGAGGAGTTTCCTCCGAATGCAAGGAGTAAAACCATCTTCAAATCAAAACTCACTTTTATGATGGAAAAGAATAATTGGTAATATGAACGAAGGAATAACTATGACAGATACATGATTTACAAACAAGATATTATTATGAAACATGTCATTTTGTGAATCCAGGGCATTAATACTGAATTTGTATTTAAAATATCACACTCCATTGCACTGTCTAGAATGAAAAGAAGCTCAATGAAGAGAAATGTGATTCAATCATTTTAAAGAATTGCAAAGTAAGGTGAAGATACCTATCAATAAGGTGTTAGAAATTGATGTAAGCATCATTTTTATCAGTCTTAGTTTAAATGCTGGCCAGCTCATCACATTTTGGGGCTCTGGGTGTTCAAAGTGCATGTGTGGTGACCAGGGGCCTCTGCTCATTGCTATTCTACTCATGTTCTCATATCCAGCCTGTGAGACCCTCGAGGCAAAGTCTGGATCCTAACCAAAATATCTGTCCTGTGGAAGTATCATTTTATTTCTCCCGCAGAGATTTCTGATTTCTCAAATATTTTCCAATAGCTAATTGGCAAACAATTGGTGTCAAAATAGGCAAAATAATAATTTGGAGGATAGAAAGAGAAATTGAAATCTAAGAAGCATTTCTCAACGGCTGCGTGATCTTAAACCAACTCTCTTTCCACTTGGTTGCAAGATTAAGTTAGTAATTCTCCTCTTACGAATAGTGGATAAAATGCTCTCTTTATAAAACACAGGCCTCGAGAGAGTGAGAATGTCCACAGTCTGAGGCTCTCTTTCCCACACGATTCTCATCAATGTCCTCCAGATGACTTAAATGGAAACCGATCTTTGACCATTATTATGAAAGATCATTTTACTTTTCATAACATGCATGTTGGCTAATTCTTGTGGAGAATAACAAGTTCCACTGAAATATGCACATGGCATCTCCAAGAAACGGAAGCAAGAATTAGGGTGAAAGGCAGGTATGCAAAACTGCCCAAGAATGACTGCAATTAGACCAAGGAACTTCCGCTTCTAAAGAGGAGCTGATGCGATCTCGCCGCAACTCGGTAAATGCTCCAGATGACAAGATGTCCTCTCAAAAGAGTGCTCTGTGCTTACTCTGCCAAACACTTATCTTTGTGTATTATAACTTTAATAAAAACTCATGCATGCTCATTGCCTAAGTAATGTTAAATTTTTATTGCTTAAAAAAATAGTCTAGATAGCTTTAAAAATATTATTGTTATTATTTTCATTAGAAACATAAAGCTGCTGTTAGAGAACAGAAAACGTTGATTTCAAGGATGAAATGTCCCAGTTTAGTTAAATAAAAAATTAAATAATTGTCGGAATATTTAAATCAATTCATCAGTCAATTACACTCAAATGACCAATCCCATTTTCTTATTGAAACAAATCTAAGACTCCACAATTGTTTTAACTGATTCACTCATCTTGCATTAGGCAGTACTGTTATGTTGCAAGTAATACATTCTCAAGCCAGTGTCATTTAAATAAAAAAATTAAAATTACATGAAGACTATTGGGGACATGCAAAAAATATCTGACCGGCCACACTTGGGAGAAGTGTGCAGACCCAGTAAGGCTTCAGGAAAATCAGGGGTAGATGGCGTCCCTCTCTTATCTGTTTCTCTCTGGAATCTGATTCATCTCACTTTTGCCCTCCAGACCAGCTTCTCGTGTGCTCACATGATACATGTGATGTGTGCATATAGTGACACATGGCTGCTGGCAGCTCCAGTGCTCCACAATCTTGGCCACCCAGGATGTTACTGGTCCCAGAGTCTCTACACCTAAAATTCAAAATTCTATGGGAATTTTTTTTTTATTAGGGACCAGTCCTTGGGTTAATTCACTGGAGTTAAGAGAGCAGAGTCATATTTTACAAAATTGCTTCCCCACATAACCACTTGGATTTGAAAGTAGTAATTGCCCCCAAAAGCCATTTATCAGTTCCCATCAATGCACCTTTCAGTCCAAAATCAACTCATACCTACTTGATCTTTTGAACATTAACATATTCTTATGCTATGTTACTTTTCCACACTTATAGCTGTGTTTTATATCAAATAAATTAATGTAGCAAATTAAGGTAGACTATGACACAATAGGAAACTTTTCTTGTTTCAATATCAGTATGAATTTCATGTAAAAATGCCTGTTTTTATAGATAATGAGAAAGCACTTCATTTTCTGGCAACTTGCATTGACCTTAAAGGTAAGCATGACAAGGAGGAATAGCAAATCAGACAGGGGTTCCCTGGGTTCCGGACAGCATGTGTCCAAGGTGTAAACTGAGAATGAGGATTTAATGACCAACAGTTGAGCAAAGCAAAAAAAAAAGTCGCAAGGGGGAGACACGTAAGAGCGAGATAGAGGTTGAGAGAGAGACCTTTTTTGCTCTTACTTGTGAGAGGAAAGTCAGGAAGTTTCCACACCAGTGGGCTGTTTCTTCGAACAGACTATGAAATAATAAAATAGCCATGAGTAACTAAAAGACTGCCATTAAAAAAAATTTATATCTCTTGCCCAGAGTAACTTCAGTTTGTACCTATAATTGTAGTAACTTAAAAGTCAGTGCAATAGGGGCCGGCTCCATGGCCGAGTGGTTAAGTTCGCGTGCTCCACTGCGGCGGCCTGGGGTTCAGATCCTGGGCGCCGACATGGCACCGCTCATCAGGCCACATTGAGGCGGCATCCCACATCCCACAACTAGAAGGACTGGCAACTAAGATATACAATTGTGTACGCGGGGGGTTGGGGAGATAAAGCAGGGGAAAAAAAAAAAAGATTGGTAACAGTTGTTAGCCCAGGTGTCAATCTTTAAAAAAAAAAAAAAAAGTCAGTGCAATAAAATATGAAGCTTGATTTTTTTTTCAGTAGGGAAACATTTTCTGATGGGTTCAAAAGAAATGAAAAGCAATTCTAAAAAAAGAAAGAAAAGGTCAGCATTTCTTTTAAAAAAGGAAACCCTTCCAATGTACGCATCTAGAGATAAATATTTCACCTCACATACACTCTTGGAAGAAGGACTGTTTAGTTTATACATGCTGAACACACATGCCTAAACACGAGATGATTAGTGATCTGGGTAATAATGGTAGCCTTGTTGGTTGTTGAACAAAGTTCTAGCGTTAGTAGAAAAGAAAGAGAAGTCAATGCAAATAACTGTCCGTTCCAAAAGTACCTTGGTGGAACTCTACCCTTTTGTAAAATAAAAAGCTGCTTCTGTATTATAGACCTGGATGAAAATGAAAGCAAGCCACATTCGTCGTTTATTAGTGGTGTTATTTTCTTATGTCACTGCCAAACTTAGGGGATAACATCACTACAAAGTTGCAGGCACCATTTTTCAGTACACATGACTTATTTTCTGGAGACGGAATGCAAATGGCCTGTGACATACCTGAACTGAGTACTGAGGAAGTGCTGGCCACTAGGTAATAAAAAAGAGAAAATTCAGTGCAACTGGGCAAGATGGAGACACGGTTTCAGATGCAACAATGATACCTCTCTTTTGCTTACAAAGTAAACATCTACTGGTCTCTCTTTGGACGGTGGTTTCTCTCCACATCTTCACGAACTGGAGGTTTATGAGCATCTCAACACTTTGTAGATGCTTCTGGAAAGCTTCCTGCCAAGAGAAAGCAATGTGTTTATTCACCAACATGAAAGCCCATTTTAGTTTAATTATCCTTCAAAGCTGTTCCAAACTTGGTAGCAGTTCCTGGTTAAAAAAAAAAAAAAAAAAAAATGAAGAAGAAAAAGATGAAAGGCATTGCTCAAAATGTCGCCCTCACATAGCTCTGTTGACAAGCCCCAAAGAAGGCTCTCCGAAACCTTGCGTGTGGCGGACTGGAAATGCCTGTGGACTGGATGAGGAGTGAATAGGAGAGAGGGCTTTGGTTTAATTGCTTGCAGATGAGGAGAAAAGATTCTCTCCTAACTTTCCACACCAAGCAAAACTACACGCAAGGAAGTTTTAAGCCAAGCCACAGATCTTCACGCGTACCAACAGAAGACTTATGTCGGTGGACTCTCCTGGTGCTCCCAGGACTTCTCTTACTAGGACAACCAATGAGGACCAAGCGGAGTTGGTTGGCCAATCTGCTAAAACATTTGCGAGTTCTAGGAATAAAAAAGAGTTGATTTTTTTCCCTTTCTGGACTCTTAGTTATATTCAGCTCTTCAAATTAATTAAAACATTTCTCCTTGTTGCGTGGTAATGTTTTATCAAATAACCATCACATTAATGAACCATTTTTAAGTTTTTTTCCAGCTCAATGATTCCCAACTACAGTAGCAGCATGGGGCATTGATGTACACATAATTTTGATAAATATTTGTTATATTAATTAGTAAGGAGTTTATTAAACATTCAGCAACACTTATTGAATATATACTGTTTGCCAGACAATGTGCCAACAACAGGATACAGAGAGATGAATAATACCCACTTTCTACCATCAAGGAAGTCACAGAATACAGAATAAAAATAGTTTGGGGTTTGGTATGTGAATTGCAAAATTGTTAACTATTTTGGATTTCACGAAAGAACAATGATAAACTTTTATACTCTGGAGACAATCTTTTTAGTTTAAGATAGGGTTACTGGATTCTAATTTGGGTGAGGAAAGTGTTATTAATCCTTCTTTGCAATGTGGGTATGGCCTCCTGTTCCATTTACCTTTCCTGTAGAATGTCTTGTGCAACTGAGATGGGAGCTGCCGTGGATCTCGGGTGATTCTTTGGGGTGGTTCCAGCCCGGGCCAGAGTGGTGGGGTCAGAGCTCAGTGCTGAGTCTCTGTGGTTCTACCAGAGCAACCACAGCACTAATGTTCTGCTAAAACTTTTGGATGTCCACTTCCACACGTCCCAGTGCACTGTCCATCTCTCTGTGTGAAGATGCGAGTGTAATGTGTCCAATTAACAACAATAAACACTTGCCCATTTTGGAGCCTGGTGACAAAATGTTGTGCAGTTACAAACATGTTGAGTATAGTCACTTTATGAACTCAATCTTCTTTATTCATTTTTATTATATCCACGGGGGCCTCCTGTCTCAGGCAGTAACTAAAGCCAGAAAAAGAAAATGAAATTCTCTAGTTCTAAAGAGCCGCGAGTTCCCATGCCAATAACCTGCCTCTTAGATCTGGAATGTTTACTCACACAGCATTAGTCCTGCTGGAGGCTGAATCCCTACCAGGGAGAGTCATGAAAACAAGAGGAGGGAGAGCGTGACTTTAGTCTATAAAGGGAAGTAGTAACACTGCTCTCGAACCTACTATGGGCTGGAGTTTATACCTTTTAACCAAGTTGTTGCACATTACCTTTGAGAAGAACACTCTTTTAGAGGAGGTGGTAGAAGAAGGGGTGTTTAGGTGGAAGAAAGGATAACTGTTTTGGGTGCTGTGTGCTTTACCGTTTCCATCCCATTATCAGAAACACCACCACAAAACCAAACAGACCCCACTACCCACAGGCCTATTTGTGAGGTTGCCAGACCTCAGGTAATGGTCGTGGACTGAAGTGGTATTTAAAATAATACGATTCCAGGTTTACCAACAAATTGCAAGAGTTCTTTAGATTTTGTTGTATTGAAAGATCTCTGATGAAAATCAGAATTCTCAAGTGTTCACCAGATGTGCCATTTCACATGCCTCATTGTAGTTATTTACCTAACCCTGTGCCTCAGTTTTGACCTGTTTGCTCTCAGAAGGCAACTTAGAGATGCTTTCATGTTGTCATGTAGTTTCAGCATGAAGAGACGACCCAGAGAGTTAGGGTAAGTGACATGCATGCCTGGGACATGCAACAGCACAGTGACAGAACTGGGCTAAGAACTCAGGGCTTCTCATGCTCAGCTCATGCTTCCTTGTGCCACCTTCACTGTCCTCTGAAGCTGCTGTGATGAGCTATCCAATTTCTCACTAATATGTCCCCATCTGGGACTCATCATGGGGTGACCCCTGGGCTCCGCCTCCATCTCCGTGGTCCACATCAGGCTCTCCTCAGAGCAGAGCCTCGGCTTCCTTCTTCCCTCCTGCTGTAGATGCGAGGCAGCCACCTTTGCATCAGACTCCGCCCTGCCACTTCTTACCGCTGATGCACAGAGGGGCTCTTCTACCTCTCCAGGGCAGTGAGCTTGCTCATCTGCAACCCAGGGCGGGCAGTGGGGGGGCTGACAGAGAAAGCCCAGATGGCTTTTAGATCTTTAGCCACTGCAGCTTCTAATGCTTATGCTTTTTTATTTTGTTTTCTTTCTGTCAGAGTTTTGAACTATTATATGTGAAAGAGTGAGTAGAAGTGACACATAGTTAGAGAGTCACAGCTGGATTTGAGAGGCGAAGGATGGTGCAGGATAATATGGAGGACCAGCACAGAAACCACGGGTAGGTGATGGGCAGGAGAGCAGGGCCAAGGGAAAAAGGGACCAGAGGGCTCATTGCTCTCCTCCATCTGGCAAGGGCTGGAGAACAGAGGACAGGAGAGTGTGTGTGTGTGTGTGTGTGTGTCTGTCTGTCTGTCTGTGTCTGTGTGAACTGGGGTAGTAGTTCTTCATGTGTGGTATAAGTTTGATTATTTTATTTTTTCATTAAAGTGGATAATCTTGAAAGCTCCGTAGACTTCCTTCACATGGAATGAATAATTCTGTTCCCAGTTAAGGGATGAAGACATTCTGATCTTATGTAAATGCTGAATGCCCTCTCTAATGACAAGCCTTTGAGAAACGCGTGTGTAACTATGTCTGGTTATAAATACTCCCTACAGCTTTCATTACACATCTGAATTCTCCATGGCCAAAAGAAGCTGTTTTGCTTGTTTTCCTTTTCTGGAAATAACCTAAGAGTTGGACGTACATTTCTTTAAACAGAGTCAGTAGACAGTATTTAAAAGTAGTTTTCATCCGTAAGTGGCTTAAAAGCAATTCTCTGATAAAACCAGTAACCCAAAAGGAGAGCTAAAGTCTTGGATTTGTTTCTTTTCTGGCACTATCAGCATCATAAAAGGACAAGATCAGGAGATAATCATGTTTAAGAAGTGTTATTTCAGTGATAGTTCTGCCAAAGCTCAGGATTTCTCCGTTTCTTAAATTTAATTCTAATTGTTTTTTTTTAAATACAGGAAAGAGCCCTTTGGGAGGGAGGGAGGTAGAAGTTTCAAAAAGGATGAGATTACTGCAGCCCTGGGAGACATGAGTCACATTCACACATGCATTAGTGCCAGGCCAATGTGAGTAATAAAATACAGAGGCAATTGCTCGTTAGACGTTTCACAGGTGGGTAACAGAACATTCTGTGTCGGTTACACACTTTAGAAAATGGTCTCTGGCTTTTCTTGGTCTTTGGTTGGACGTGAGCCAAAAATATCCTTCCTTTAATTTTGCTGACTTGCTTTCCTTCCCTTGTCCTGTGATTTCACACACAATGGGAGAAGGTTGGTTTGGTCAGCTCACATAAGGTTTACCTCGAAAGGTTTTAAACATTTATGTTGAAACTACAGTTGACTTGTTATTACTCAGAAAGTTGGGTGCCTGCTAATGCCAACAGCATGGCTTTTCCTTCTTCTCAGCCACATGAAATTCAGTACACTCTGCTCATCGCTAGCATGGGACTGGAAGAATCACTTTCAAACGACACCGTGGCTGAAGACTGAAGAGTAATAGTTACCAACATCATAGAGACGCTTGGGGAAGTAGGCATAAATATGACTTCACACCATGCGGGGGGCGGGCACAACGTCCACCGGGACGGCGGGCACAGTAGGGGGCTTCCTGGGGGTGGCGGGCTCCGGCGGGTTAGGGACCCACGGCAGCGATGAGCGGGACCCCGGCTGCCGTCTGTTCAGGCGGGGGGGGTGGGGGTGGGTCTCTGCCGGGCCCCCGGGGATGCAGCGCCCACCCAAGAACCTTCCGGAGAGCGGCTGCCCCGCCCTCTGATCCAGAGAAGCCCGGGACCGGCCAGGCTGTCCCGGGAGAGAAGGGCGCTGGGCCGCCGCCGGCTCTTGGAGGAGAAGGTCTCCTGGCGCCGCCGCCTCCGCAGGCGGGTTCCAGAGACGCCTGGTCCTCAGGGGACACAGAGCATCAGAGGCAAGGGCAGCGAGGACCCCCTGAGGCCACCTGTCAGGTGCGCTGCTTCAAAATGGGAAGAGGAAGGCCCTTTGCTTTTCCCTGAAGGATGTGAGGGTGTCGGGAAAGGCTCTAGAAGAAGATTGTGTGGGCCCCGAAGATCGGGCGCTGAGACCAAGGGGTCAGGGATCGGGCTGGGGTCAGATTCCTCCTTCCCAGGTGGGCGGGCTGCTGGTACCCCGCTTAGTGTGGGGCCTGGGGGGCTGGGGGGTTTCCTGGGTCCCCTGGCCCCAGCATTGCGACCACCATAGTGGAGTGAGTGGGTCTCTCATACAGAATCTGCTTTAGGTATTGTAAATATCTTCCCCCAGTAGTCCATCCCTCTTTTAAAATTGTTGTGCCATTGAACAGAAATACTTAATTTTGATATCATTAAATCTATTTTTCACCTATGGTTTGCGCTATTTTCTTCTCATTTAAGACATTCTTTCTCACTCCAGGTTTCAGGCATTCTGTCCTGCGTGGTCTTAGTTTCATCCTTCACCCTCCACAGTTAAGCCTCTGATCCGTCTAGCCCTCCTGAGTGTTGGGTGTGATGTAAGGATTCGGGTTTATCTGTCTCTACAGACAAGCGAGTGTTTTCAACATCATCGACTAAATAGTTTTTACTCGCTGATTTTTGATGCCACCTTAATATCATTCCCATTAGAGATAAGTCTGTTTCTGAGGGTCTGTTCTTTTCTTTTGATGCGTGTCCTGTCTTCAGTAAGTACAACGCAGTCTTAATAAATGTGGCTTTGGACTATATGTAATCACCTAGAGGAGTGGTGCCTCGTTTTTCACAGTTGACGTAGCTGAAAAGTCCTCCCCTGGGCGTCCTGGCCCACCCCTGAGCTCCCACGAGGAGCCCCCGAGGACACTTAGCAGCCTCCCCTCAACTCCCTCCCTTCACACCCCAAGAACCCCGCACTCCTCCTATCACCTCCCAGGGCCAGATTCCCACAAGTGACAGGGAACGTGGTCCCTGGCCCTCCCCACCGCAAATCCATCCTGCACCAGCTCTCCAGGGCCTCCTCCTGTCACCTCTACTGGGACTCAGGCACTGTGGCTCCAGGAGTCAGGGCTGCAGGAGCCAGGGCCCTGCTCTCTGAGTCTGAGGCCTCCGGCTGGGAGGGCAGAGCTCCTTCCCCGGGTACCCCCACCTGCTGTTCTGGACTCTCTGGGGGTGTACTGCAGGGTGGCAGACGTGGAGGGCCCCTCCTGCCAGGATGGAGGACAAGTCAGTGAGGCCATGCTCCCCTCCCCCAACTTCTCCCCAGCACCACCGGCCTTTGACCCTGGACATCTGACCCCAGCCAACTGCCACCAAGGCTACTCCAACCTCCAGTGTGCTAGGATTCTAGAACAAGCCCAGCTCCAACTGTCACTCTGAGTGTGGCCTGGCCTGGCCTCCCTGAGCCTGTTTCCTCGTCTGGAAAGGGTGAGTCCTCCCCTCCCTCACAGGGTCTCCTGAGGACTCGTGCCATGACCGTCATCACTGCCCTCCCCTCACCCCTCCAGGGGGAGCAGGGCAGAAAGCTCCGCATGCTCCTCTCCCCGCTTTTAGCCCATCACCCCCCTTGAGGCCTGCACCACAGGACCATCATGCCTGCATCTCCCCGATGAGGAGACAGAGGCCCAACAGGGGCAGCGAGCTGCTCAGGGCCACAGAGGAGAGGCCACTTGCCCCTCCCAGCCAGAGGCCCTGTTCCCATGTGCTCACCTAACCCCCATCCCACCCCTGACCGGAGCCCTGTGCCCTCAGCTCCCAGGTGTGTCCTCGGCCGAGCCGTGGATGGAGAGGGCGGGGTATCCTGGGAGCCTGGGTGAGTGGCTCCTGCCCGGCCCAGGCCCTGGAGAGTCTGGCCCCCAGGCTGGAACGGAGGCCACGCCAAAGCCTTCACTTCCCTAAGGAGCCCCTCAGGACATTCCCCTGAACAGAACTCTTTCTTCATCCACTCAGGACATGGACCCCAAGGTGCCACCTCTGATCAACAGGGAAGGGGGTGACAGGACACTTTGCTGCCTCGCTTACATGAAGCTTCCAACGTCTGCTCAGGAAGCATCCACTAAGAATCCTTCAGGTGGCCAGACACTTCTCCTCAGCCAGCTGGGACATACGTCATTGCCAGCTGGGCACTCAGGTGAGACTCCTGTGACTGAGTAGCAGGAACTGTTCTAGGGGCCCAGTGGGGAGTCCCAGAATGCACCCGGATCTGACTCTGCTCCAGACATTCAGGCTCCAGGCTGAGCAGCCTGTTTGTCCACCTGGCCTGTGGGAATCCCTGCCATGCCCATCCCTGGGGCGGGCGGGCTGCACCCCCCTTGGAGACGTGGTGAAGACAGCAGGAGCAGCGGGAGCTTGGCTTCCTGAGGACACTCTGGGCTGGTGGAGGGAAGATAGGAACCCTCACCCACCTCACCCACCCCACAGCCTGCAAGAAGCTAAGTCTGGCAGGATGGACCTGCACAGAAGCCAGAGACCTGCTCATTGTGCCAGCTCGGCAGCCCCTCCTGGACCAGCCCAGCCAGCACCACCACGTCCCGTGACCAGGGCCCCCTGCCCACAGGCTGCAGCCCGTCTGCCCGTGGACCAAAGAGATCCCTCCTCTTGCTAATCTGGACAAGACACACTGGGATTTTTCAGAGAAAGTTTAAGTGAGAAACTATCAAACCACACCCTGCCCTGTCCCCCTCCCACACACACTCCTCTCTTTCCAGACCTCCCGCCTCCACTCTACCTTGGTCATCAGTTTTCTGCTCAGAGACTTGTCTTTGCTGCATAGGCTGTTAAATTTTCGGAGCTCTCCCTGAGGGGAGGGGAAAGAAGGAAGGATACATGGAGGACTAATGCCTGTGGGGGCTTGAGTGCAAACCCCTTTTATTTGAGACCCCACAGGATGCAAACAGCCTGCACGAGTGCTCTCACTGGGCTCCTCTGAGCACTCAGGTCTCTGTGGGACTGGGGACGGGGCTCTCCTGTGGTCACCTGGGGCCTCCGTTCCCGTTGCTATGGAGCAGCTCTGTTGTGACCAGGGTGAGCTTCAACTGTTGCTATCAAGTCAGCACTTGAAAATCTCCGATTTCGCTCAGCCCAGCAGCACCTGCCATTCAAGGAAACTGATTCCTGAAGCAGAACTGGTGCACTCAGGACCCCAGGAGGCTTAGGGAGCCCCCCTCCTGCCCAGGCCCTGTCCCCAGGGTTTGCCGCCTCCCAGGCGTTCCCCGGTGACTGAGGGGCAATGGCAGACATACGGGAGGTCCCTCCTCTACCAGGTCTCGTGTGCAGAGGCCCACCGACCAGGAAACTCCCCCACGTTTTCTCCAGACGGTCTAAGGAGATATTCTGCAGAGCAGAGACAACAGCGTGTTGTGAGAAGTTCGTTAGGATGTCACACTCCTGGGAAGGGAAAAGAATGAGCTGTCGGTGGGGCGCTGGGGCCTCGCTTGCTCTGGCTTCAGTCCCCTTCAATTTAAATCTCCCGTCCTGGAAAAGACAGGTGCTCAGGGAGCCCTGCAAGGGCACATTTAGGACCCAAAGAGGAACACTCACAGAGAGCAGGATTTTAGCTCCACCCAAGGAAGGAGCCAGGTAGGAAGTGCGCATCCTACTGCTGGGACCTGGACTCCAGGTCTGCATGTCCCTGGCAGGAAGGGCCTAGGGACTGTGCAGGACCTTAGACCACACACTTCAATCCTGAGACCTGATAAAGGAGCAGCAGCAGCTCCCAAGGCCCCAGAGAGGGAGCGCACTGGCCTCCCACAGCATCCCTGGGCCACCTGAATCCAGAGCTCCATGACTTTAACCCTGTCCCAGGCCATCATACTTGGGTTCCCCAGGCAGGTGGTGATAACACAGTTGACCACACTTTGAAGTGGTTGGTGGACCCCCAGACGGTGCTCGTTCCCATGCTTGTTTCTCTTGCCCCAAGTGGACTCAGGCACTGAGAGGGCACCAACTTGCTGAAGAGCTATTGGGACACGGGGAGTGTCACTTGGCCCTGCCACACCCCAGCTCTGTGTCTGCAGCCCCTAAAATCCCAGGCAGGGCTCACAGTTTAGAGGTGGAGCTGAGGAAGCTGAGGATGTGGCCTGAGCCTCGTGGGAGCCCCTGGGTTGTATTCTCTGTCCACTGAGGACACCCAGCACAGGATGACCCAGGACGCTGCCCCACCCAATGGCTCAGGCCCCGTCCGGCTTCCCATCTCTTCTTCCCCATTTACTGGGCACAGCCACCCTGTGCAGCAGGTCCTGTTAGTGTCCTCTTCTACTGTCCACAGGTGGACAGCAAAGGCGTGGGCCTTCAGGAAGTTGCCCAGGTCATTTGGTAGGGAAGGGGTGGAGCCGGGATGTGGACCCAGATCATAGGAGTCCAGATCAGGTCTGGGGCAGCTGATGGCAGGGGGAAGGCCTGCCCCACCCTGCCCTGAGAGCCCAGCTGCTCCCCGCGTCCACGATCGTTAGCTGTTCTGCGACCTGCTTAGGAGGGAAGGCTGGGAGGTTAGGCTTCTCCTCGCTCAGCGGGTTCTTACCGGCCACAGGCCTGGGGCAGGAAGGCTCTGGGTTTCGAGCCGCTGTATTTTTGGAGCTGGTGATGGAATTCCCATTAGACCTGGTGGTCCAGGTGACTCTAGCTCAGGAGCTGCCACTCCCGCTGGAGCTGATGCTGGTCCTTGCTCCAGCTCCAACACTGCTGATGGCGGTGATGCTAGCTCCAGCGCTACAGGTGGTGGTATCAATGGAGCTGGAGCTGGAGCTGGCTCTACCTCCGCAACTGGCCACTGTTGTGGTTCTGCAGCTGGCTGGAGACCTGGAGCTGGCACTGGAGCAGGATAAAGAGAAGGGTTCACCCACATGACTGACTTTCCATTGCCTTACCCCAAACAGGAAAGATCCCACTGCCCTTACAGGAATACCCAGCCCATGAACCCACCCCAGATAGTCTTCACAGCCTGCAGCCCCCCTTACCCTCTGACTCTGCTTCAGTGGCCTCTAGAAGCTCCAACTAGACCAGGATCACAGGGTCACAGCAATTCAGGACAGAGCTAGGTAAGGTAACCTGCACGTACAGCCCCTTTACCTTGAAAAAGGGACAGTGCAGGGGCTGCATGGAAGTCTGAGAGTTCTGTTCTGGCCAGGTGCCCAGCATGAGAGAGAGGGCAGTGGGGAGAGTCGTGTGAAGTGGAGTCTGAAGCCTGGCCTTTCCTTCCACACCGTGCTCCCACAGCTCCCTTATCTGGGTCAAGGACCCACAGGATGGCCCAGCCCACACCCAACCCCCTGTGGCTGTCCGTGCAGTGGAAGGCCTGGTCATCGACCAGGTCTAACAGAGAGCCTGTGGGAGTCTCATCTGCCCACTGACACTCTTCTCCCAGGGCCTGGCCAGAGCCGACCCCATCCCCCATGCACATGAGCATCAGGACTTAGGTTGGAGGCAGATTGGTGAGCAGGCGGCTCACCACACCTACTATCTGGGGCCCCGGTGGTGGTGGTTAGGACAAGTGGATGTGGAGAGGGCACAGGGTGACATGGGACTGTGGAAAGGATGGGTCTCTCAAGGCCCACTCAGTCCCCTCCCCTCTGCTTCTCAGGGAGGCTGCGACCCCACCCACAGGTCTCTTTGACTCATGTCCTCATGAAGGGCAAGGCCCCAGACCTCAGCCCTCTCATGGGAATCAAACCTGTGCGAGATCCAGAGTTCTGCCAGTCAGTCCTTCCCCAGCCACAGCCCCCAGAGACTCCCAGGCTCTTCTGTGGAGACAGGAGGCCTGCCTTCTGCACCCAAAGACCACTCACGTTCTTAGATGGAGCTCCTGTTGGTCACCCTGGATGGAATACGGCAAGATGCATCCATATCTACAAGAGGCCATGGGGGTGTGACATCCAATATGCTGTGAACATGACTGCTTATGATGTCTAGAGTGACTGTCCCACTCTAAGACAGGATCTCACGCCCAAGGATTGAGTCTGCTCCATTTACTAAATGACATTATCCAGGAAAGTGCCTGCATGAAGTAGGTGTTTAATAGAGACTGTTGAAGGATGAACTCAACCGGAACCTCCCCAGGTGTTGACATGGCTCCAGGGCTCCTCTGCCCGCCCCCGGAAATCCCTAATTTGGCTACCCTGAGGACAAGGACCAGGACCAGTTGGATGGAATCTCAAAACTACTTTACAAATGGGAAAAGAGGTTGTTTTCCATGAGGCTTTCCAAACTCAGGAAAGCCACGGGACAGTTTGGAGTGAGGCAGAGAGCTTCTCCATGGGAGAGAGAGAATTAATAAAGATGAAAATGTCCAGCAGTCCTTTCTGCAGAGCCAGGCGCCAGGGAAGCACCTGCCACAGCTTATCCCATGATTTCCTCCAGTAACCCCATGAGGTTCATCTTCTGACCACTCCACTTTCGGAAGAGCAAAGTGAAGCTCAGAGAGGTGTGTTGACATTCTCCAGACACACAGGTAGCAGGTGGGAGACCCAGAGCTGCGCTGAGGAGGAGGCAGCTCTCACCTGTGGGACAGCTGGCCCAACACCTGCTGGGTGGTGTCGAAGGTGTGGTGGGGGCACAGGGAGATGGCGACGTACCTGTTTCCCCCCTGGGGAGGCTGGTGCCAGGGACTCTGCCGCCTTCTCCATTGTGCCTGCCTTGGGGTCAGCATGATCAGGCCCAATGGAGGGACAGGGTTGAGTCCTTTTCACACCGAGTGGACAAAGAGAGACACATCGCTGCATCACCAGGAGCCCCCAGGAGGATCTGGGTCTGGAGCTCAGCCCAGAAACTCCCGTCACCTCAGGAACTCACGCAAGAGGAGGAACATGTGTGCCCACACAGGAAAATGTTCTAGGCTTTAAAAGTCTGATTTGGGGAGAAATAATAAACAGCTGGCACCTTCAAGACGTTCTGTCAGCTGGGAAACAATAACACCTCCCTGTATCAATAGCCTGTGTTAAGAGTGTTGTCCCCGCGAGTCGTCAACAAACTTCCCCGCTGTAGATACTGGGAAAGAGAGGGGTAGGGATTCCAGGCGGCTGCTCAAGATCACGAGGTCAGAAGTGGAACAGGACACAGCATGGGCTGCGTGACATCCCTCCAAACAGCCTGAGGCTTGGTCTGCTCCTGACATGGAGGGGAAGGCTCTGTGGAAAGCACATTCCTGGGAGGGCCCCAGGGCAGTTGCCAGATTCCAGGCTGGGTCTGGGTCTACCTTGTCATCTTGGGGTCCTGAGTGTGGAGACCCCTCTGTGCCCACACTTACCGCAGACCAGCAAGGCTGTTGTTGGCCTGAGGCACCTGCCCCTCGTCTAGGGAGATGGAGAGTTTGAACCCCTCCACGAGCTCCTCACAGAGGTCCCGGGTGGAGCGCTAGAAAGACAGAGCCCGGTCCGGGGCCAGTCTGCCGCCCCAAGTTATGGCAGACCCAGCACACTAACACAGCCTGTGAGGACACACTTAACGTGTTCCCTGCGCACTGCTGAAATGGCAACAGAATTGAATCCTGCCAAGGTCCAGCAACATCTAGAGGCTGAAGGGCTGTGGCAAATGACCTCCTTTATGGGATACTATGAAGATGAGTAAGGCCACAGCTCCTGGCCTGGTGGGCCTACAATGACTCGATGGGTTCTGCGAGATGACAAGTTGCAGAGAAATGTACACAACACCTTACTCCCACCCCCATTTTCGTACAAACCGCCCTATCAGGTGTGATGATTTGTAAGCGTCTGGGAAGGGCTGCCCGGACAGTGGAGCCGACTGCTCCACGGGATTCCCGGGCGGGAGTTAAAAGAAAATAGCAGCCAAATGCAAAGACAACATAAAATTTTTCTCTGCTATTCCAACAAATGTGCGAAGAGTGTATTTCTACTCATTACGTAGCAGGTGAGCTCTGTGTGGAGGGCCAGATTTCTCTGGGATCAGGCCTGTGGGATGCTCACGTGGGAAAGCCCTGGCCGGGCCTCAGGGAGTCCCCAGATTTGAGTCTGGGTGCTGGTCCCACCCAGTCATCTCGAAGTCCTGAATGTGGAGACCCTCTGCTGTTCTCTCACCTCGGACCAGCGCTGGATGGTGAATGTGGCCTCCTGCTCCTGCCCCTTGTCTACAGAGTTGGAGCGGTTAAACCTACCCGCCAGCTCCTCGAGGCTCTCCTGAGTGGAGTTCTGCAAAGACGGTGCCCGAGAGCCAGGCCAGGAGGAATCAGGGGCTGCCTGCACACTGCCACTGGGACCAGCTCCCAAGGGAAAGTCTGTTCCTCAGTTCAGGCACAGAGATCTCCAGTCAGGAGGGAAGGAGATGACACCTCTAGGGCTCGGCAACTAGGAGTGGAGGAGCTCACCTTCTCATGCTGCCAGCCACGACCTGGGGTCTGAGCACGACAGGCCCAACAGGCTTCCCCCCCTAACAACCAGCTCCTGCCCAGGAAAGATCCACCCCTCATCCCTGCCTTCCTCCTTCCACACTCTCACACACACACAAACACACATGCACACACGCACACGATCAGGGCGAGGGGTGTGGGGCTGCTCAGGTGGGATCACAGCTGCATCCTGGTCTGCATGGCCTGCCCTGGGCTGCCCCGTGTTACCTTTGGGTGCCTCCTGCCAAATGGCCAGATGTGTTGGGGATGACGGGTAAGCCAACATCTACAACGACAAAAACGATTCTCTTTCTGGGCCTTTCTGAGCCCAGAATCCCTGAAAGTTGGGACCCAACCACAAAACGTCCTTGTCTGTTGAGCACTCCAGTCAAGTGAGCTGGATAGGGGGCTGTGGGTGCCTGATTGGTAGCAGAGTCCTAAGTTCTGTTGAGCTCCACGACCAAGGAAGTGAGGTCACTTTTTCAAGAGTCATTACCAGGGCCACTTTGTGCAATCACTCTCCCAAGCCCCCCTGAACTGCTATTGCTCACCCTCGTCCCCCACGTCACCTCCTGAAGGGTACACAGTGAGCCAGCACAGCCCTAGCCACGGCTCCCTGGAAACCTAACTAGGGTCGTAGCTTTGAAGAGACACAGCTGAATTCAGACCTCCTTTTTCTTACCAGTTCTGCGTCCTGGGGAAGTCACTGTGCCTCTCAGGTCCTCTCCAGTCTCCAAACCTGCACAGTGGGGATCAGGCTACAATCTACTTCTTAGGGACATCATCAGGTAGATATGAGATAATATCCATAACCTCTGTGGGCTGGTGTCACATGTATCTAAGGCACAAACTTAGAGATGGAAGAATTAGGAGAAGGGGTGAGATGTAGCATGGAGCACCACTCAAAGCAGGCCTGGGTTCCAGCACTGTGACGTTGGAGAACCCAGCACTGTGATGTTGGAGAACCCAGCACTGTGATGTTGGAGAACCCAGCACTGTGATGTTGGAGAACCCAACACTGTGATGTTGGAGAACCCAGCACTGTGATGTGGGAGCAGTCGCTTCCAACTTGGCTGCATTTTCAGATCAGCGTCATGGGGGGGGGGGGGTGAAATGAATGGAAATTCAGGTATTGTCATCCTGTGGCATAAAACCATTCAATTGTTTTGTGTTATATTTAGAATGAGACCCAAGGGCCTCATCTTGGCCTATGGGGTGGACAACCTCCACAGTGGTACCCAGTAAATCTCACCCATGGGATACACCTCCCTGTGGATCCACTCAGTGGTTAGTAACCATCTTCTGACCAATAGCATACAGCCAAAGTGATGGGGTGTCTTGTCTGAATTTTAATTACACAAAGTCTCTCGCTTTTCTCTTCCTCCCTCTCTTGGTTCCATCTTTCTCTCTCTCTCTCTCTCTCTATTGTATCCCTGGAACTGGGGAATCGAGCACTGGTGTTTTGGACTGCCCAGTGTGCCCTAATGTGGCCCTTAGAGGAGAGAAGCAAGGGGGTGCGCAAGCCACCAGACAGAAGGGAACTCAGGCTCTCAGTCCAAACTGAATCCTGAAAGCTGAGAGTGAACTTGGAGTCAATCATCCCCCTGTCGAGCCTCAGTTGAGGCCACAGCCCCACACCGTTAAACACATTGAGGCAGAGGAACCCAGCAAAAACGTGCCTGATTGCTGATCCACACAAATGGTGAGATAGTAAACATTTGTTGTTTTCAAATGGTAGGTTTAGGGGCAACGTAGTCAGAGAGGAAAAGGTAACTAACAGCCTACCAGGTCCCAGGCCCTGGCCCTACCTGCCACCCCATCTCCTGTTCTTTCCTCCCAGGTGGCCTCCAGTGACACTGCCACATTTCTGACCTCCCATGGCCAAACCTACTTCTGTCAGCAAGACTGAACCAATGGTGCCTTCTCCCTGACACACTGCTCCAGACTCGTGCAGGGCTGGCTCCCTCTTGTCATTGTGGTCACAGCAAATGTCACTCCAGTGAGGCCTTCAGACCCTCCTGCCCAGTTGACCCCCAGCCCTCCCTCACAGCCCCCTGCTATGTTCTCCACAGAACTTGCTCTTTTCTTTCTCATGTCTTTGCTGTTGTCAATCTCCCCTCCAGACTGTGAGCTCCCCACAGGTGGGGACCACTCGGTCATTTTCAGCCTGCGCGGACGCCACCTGGGACCTGGCACAGGGGGAGTGATGCTGAATGAAGCAATGGGAAGAACTTGCACCCTCCTCCTGCTTCTGACCCACTTTGACTGTGGAGATGAGGGCTAGTAATTGGAGGGGCTAGCTGTTTCCTAGGCGGGGACAGCCAGAAAGACCACTGTATGACTCTTCGCTCCTCCAGGAGCCCAAGCAACGCTAGTGGCCACCATGTAAAATTTAGGTGCACGGCATAAAGACTTGATCTACATATGTGTTTACCCTAATTAGATAATTTCTGTTAAAATTATAGAAAAAGATAAATTGTAATTATTTATATTATTTAGACATTCATGGTAACACTAAAGGAGTTAAAGAAAAATGTCAGGAAAATATGTGAGATTTCCTAAGGAAGCTACCCACTGAAGCTCGCATGGAGAAGACAAGTAGATGGAGCTACTTTGCTCAAACCGGTTTCACCATGGAATCATCATTAGGTCATTCTTGGAAAACGTTATCTCATAGCAGTTGCTCTTTGTGGAATCACATAGGAAAAACAAGAAGGAAAGACTCTTTTCTTTTGAGGAAGCCAGTATGGTTAAGGCAGAGAACAAGAAACAGAGATGAGAAAGGAAATAACAGAGATGACTTGAGACAAGAAATGAGTCTGAAAGGGAAAGAATGTTAGAAAGTATGTATTGTATCTCCTGTGGCTGCTCCGGACATCAAAAAGAAGAGTCTAACAGATTTCAGGGCTGGATATTCCTGAACAGTCGGAACAGCCACAGGCTACTGTCAGTCATTTAGCAGAGACACGTGTCAAGGACAAAAGCCACACCCACAGCCTCATCCTCAACCAAAGGGAATGCAATTGCCTACGACTAGTCCTTGTTGGAATCCTCTTATCACCGCAAACATCTTCAGTATTCTAAACAGTGTCATGAAG